TGAATGTGTGTGTGTTTTAGTCTCTGAGGTGCATTTCCTGCCACATGCTTTATTTGAATGTCATTTTGAAATGATATCAGGAAATGTTATTTTATGACAAGATAGGAAATACCTTGTTTTTTAATTTAGAGAATAACTAACAAAATACCAACCATAAAGGAAACAACTAGTGTTTTTTTCCTTTATTCTATTGCTGATGCTTTTATACACGATTGTACACGATCGTCGTTGGTCAATTTTAATTAAAACGTTCTGGAATTAATATACATCAGGAATGAATTAATTATTTTTTATATTATGTGTTTTGCGATTTTGTAAAGAAAACTGAATTATTAAATCTAGGTTTTAGATGATTTGGAGGAACTTTCTCTTGGAGGAAGTTTTCTCTTGGTATCTCTATTGATAACATTTAGCCTATGTCGCATTTTTTGTTTGTTTGTTACTACTTTGTAATCCTTCATGCAACTTATTTCTTTTAGATATTGTTGGTTGAGGGTAAACTAATTAGGCTAGCTTTTAGCTGGTTCTGCAAAAACAAATTCAGTTTAAACTATTTTTAGTCTAGCATTTAACATTCTTCACCGCAGTCACACTTGACGATGTCACATACTGAAGCCCATTGACAAAGGCAGACTAACTGTAATTATCCCACATAAAAGAGCTGTTTTTAAGTCAAAGCAGGAACAGAGAGGAGATCAAGCAGAGCTAAAGAAAACAGAACAGCTATTGTTGTTCTATTGCAAAAGGAAAGATTTTTTCACAGCTAAGGAAAAACATACTTTCCTCTCAGCTTTGTAACAGCAGGAAATGGCAGTGATTTAGCAGAAGAATGCAGTGTCAGCAGCTCAGGACCTTTCACTGGACTTAACATGGTTTATTATTACCATGAGTCTAATTAAGGTCAGTTACACTGGCAACTTCTGTTGGCAGATAAAACGACAATAATCACATGAGATGAAGAAAATTATTCTTGAAAAAAAAGTCTCGTTGTTCTCCAAACATATCACATATCTAACCTATAAACAAAGGTCCAATCTTTAGAATTATAGGTTATCTGAGTTAGTCCAAAACACAGAAGGGTATAAAATAAAAACCCAGAAAGATCTGAGTAACCTGTAAAAATGTTAAATAACAAAGACTGGGCTAATCAAACAGGGAGCAGTGTGTGGTGCCGCGCTCAATGAACCTCAGCTATTATCTGATAGAGCTGCTACTACTTTGTAAAAAAAAAAGTCTTTTTTGAATCTGATTTTGACCCAATAGTCCATCCATACAGTGAACCCTGGGCTTGGGCTCGGAGGACTGAAATAGTTTGGTCTGTCAGTTCAGAACTCAACCATGTCAAGACTAACTGCTGGATTGAGTTTGTTTGTTAAATAAAAGTGAGAAAAAGTCAAGAGAGAAAGTGAGATGAACAGCTGTGAGTCTGAGTCCATGTCAGAAAAACTGCACTTGTTAAACGTCATGTTTCCCTTCCACAAATGGACTTTATTTTCCTCTTCATCCATTCTTCTACTACTACAACTACAATACTACTACAATACTACAATACAGCACCTATAATAGTGTAGGTATAATACTACAGTACAGTACAGTACCTATAATAGTGTAGGTATAATACTACAGTACAGTACAGTACCTATAATAGTGTAGGTATAATACTACAGTACAGTACAGTACCTATAATAGTGTAGGTATAATACTACAGTACAGTACAGTACCTATAATAGTGTAAGGAGTAATTAAGAAATAAGACTCGTTAAAAAGGTGATTTAAACAACTCTTAACGTTTGGTTCCTGACTCTGACTGAACCTCTAGCCGTGTCTAATATACATTATAGTGAACTTATTGTACTTACTAGTAAAAAAGGTAAACGTTAGACATGCACTTATATAAAACCGGAAAATGAAACCAAAGCTAAAAACAGAAAATAATATTTTGCCAATTTTCAGTTTGTATTTATGGCTAGGACTGTGTACTTGCCTCGGTAAAATCAACTGTAGAAATGATTATTAATGTTTCACGATATAAAACTCTAAATGAAATGTTTAACGTTACCAAAACTCATGTGAACATTAAATAATAACGTACTGGCTTGAGTAGAGGAGGGAAGGGGAGTGTGAGCAATTTATGAGAGAGAGAGAGAGAGACAGACAGAGAGAGAGAGAGAGAGAGAGAGAGAGCACAAGAAAGTGCCTGCAGGATATTTCAGCTTTTACAGGGCCTACAGATGTGTGTGTGTTTGTGTGTATGCGTGAGGTAAGAACAACATCATCTGAGACACGACTATGACACATGATCTTTTTTTCTTTCAATGGTCCAAAGTCCAAAAAAGCCATTAAGGTGGTAACAGAGTTAGCATTTCATATCTTTGTTGAAAAACTGACCCTTTTAGCTACATGCTATCAGGCTAGGTGTCTTAAATAATAAGTATAACAAGTAAAAGAAGTTTGACCCAGTTCAAGGATGACATTTACATTCATTATATTTGTGACTCTTTAGTCTAATACACACTGTGAAAGACAGTGTATCTTAAAGTATTTACATGAGGAATCAAAATTTCACATTTGAAAGGGACTGCGACGTTGTTTAATCCATAAATAAATACCAACTTAATTACACACACAGTCTGGTTTGTTTAATGATTCCGTCACTGACATTGGCGTCGGCGTCGGCTGCTAACAGCCTCCTGGCATCGTCTTCCTGTGATTCAGATGCCGTACAGATCACTGCCAAGTGAACAAATTCCAAAATAACCTGAGTTAGTGTGCGTGTGTGTTGGAGTGAGGAAGCGTCCTGAATACTAAAGCGAGGCGTCTCAGTGTCAGGATGAAGAACTGTTGCTAAGCAGCAGTGGTTGCTACGTGGTGGAGGAGAGTCTGCAGACGGGGGTGGCTCAGGTTTTCAGTCAGTGATGAAATCCGAGGGTTTACCTCAGTGTTTGTGTGTGTGTGCGCGAGTGTGTGTGTGTGTGTGCATGATTCTTGGATTTATTTCTGTGGCGTTAAAAATAGTAATTTTTAGCTCATGAAAACCACAGATTTCTATCAATGTATTCTTATGAAAATGCCAGAGTGTATGTATTCAGAATGCTGTGTGTGATTGATGACAGCATTAAAAAGCTGTTGTGTTTGATGAGCTGTAAAGTTTGGTGTTTTGACCTTTTGAAAACTGCAGTTCTGTGAATGATTCATTAATAATAAAGGTGACAAAAACAAAGCTCTGTCCAGAGAAGTCCAGAAAAGTCCAGAGTAGTCAGTACATACACATGCTGTATATGTACAAATACACATGCGGTATATGTACAAATACACATGCTGTACATGTACAAATACACATGATGTATATGTACAAATACACATGCTGTACATGTACAAATACACATGCTGTACATGTACAAATACACATGCTGTACATGTACAAATACACATGCTGTATATGTACAAATACACAGAGATAAAATAAAACCCATTTTCAGTTTGATCGTCTCCTGCTCTTACGTGTCATTATTTTTCGGCCTTGGTTCCGATGTTGTTGTCCTTCCTGTCAGATCCGGACTGATCCAGTTTCGTGAAAGTCACAGTGGGAGGGTTGTTGGGTCGAGACACAGGCAGCCATTTATACTGGAGGTCCTGTGATGGAGGGTCCAAACACCAGTGGTAGTTCTCTAGGAGGTACAGGCACACTTCCTGGAAGTCACACACACACACACACACACACACACACGTGCACACACACACACACACGTGCAGCCTATTGGTCATGGGTTATACATTTGGGACCTAAAACAAGTACACATAAGTACCTAACCCAGACACACACATAAAATGCATGTATACCACTGAGGTGCTCTGAGTAAGGCACTGTCCCCACACACCACTGCACCACTGGTGCAGTGGTGCAGTGGTGCAGTGGTGCAGTGGTGCAGTGATGTTCTGTGTCACAATAACAAATAGTTGACTTTCTTTTCTACTTTTATATTCTTTTTACCTGAGAAATTTAAGAAAAGATCAGGTTTCTGAGTAAAAAACTCTAAGAAGGGGGAGAACGACAGGAGGAACTTCACACACAGATCCGATCACCTTCAGGGTCGTTAAAGTGAAGGTGAATAGAGAGGGGAAAAAAATGAAGGTGGGATTTACTGTAGCTACTGTATATATGGCTAACATTTAACCATTTCTGGGATAACGTTTAGCTAACTTTACACTAAACCTTTGACCTCTCTCCTCCTCCAGTTTCACATCATTTTCTGGCCTTCGATCGAGGGTTAGGGTTAGTTAGGGTTAATTTTTTGGGTCGACCTGGACAGAATGTTGCTGATTCAGCAGATACATGGTCCTAAGAATTGTGTGAATCTTTGCAGATTCCGGATCAACCTTAGCTGTTTTATTTCATTTCTTTTTTTCTCCACCTTTTATATTTTGACTAATTTGCAGTTAAGCTCTCTTCATCATCCTCCATCTTTACTCTCTTTCATTCTACACACTGCTGCATCTGGAGTGGGATTTCAATTGGCTGAATATTAGCCCTG